TAGCTCCTCTTCATAATAAGAAGCTTTCATCACTTAGTTGTTACCTCAACTCTTTAGTTGATTTCGCGCTCGCCCGAAATTACGCGCTCGCCCAATAATTAATTTCCACAGAATTGCGTGTAGCATTGTACCGATACAGTGACTGAGCATGCAGCTATACCTCTATACTGGCTATTACTCGCCTGGTCGGAGGGGTGCTGCGCAGGAAGAAGTAGAGTAAGATTTGCGATTACACGGGTACAGGATCTACGATGATTCAGACACTAAGTATAGTACTTATATAATACTCTATAAGTATCTATCATTCTGGTTGTTGTAGGGAGGATTGTTGGCCGAGTATTCCAAGCCTGGTGAACTTAGTAGTTTACTACATATTCATACGCATCGCGAGTTAAGGAAAATAGGTCTTCTCATTATATGCAAATGACTAGTAAACTCAACAATCATATTCTATGACGTGAAACGTAGTATTGGTGATATCAATGCTTCTTTTTGCTCTTCGATTTGACACCCTTCTTATGTACAGTTTTCTTCTTTCCGAGACTCTTATCCATCTTCTTACTCGTGCCGAACTTCTTCACTCCGCCTGATTTACGTCTAAAATAAAACAACCTCACCAAGAATCGAACTCGCGACCTGTGGGTTAACAGCCACCTACTCTACCACCACACCAAACTTCCCGATGTTACTTCGGGACAACTTTCTTCACCGGTTGTGAATTGTCATGACCATCCTTGGCAACTTCCTGTCTCAACTCAGCAATGCGAGCATCAACAGCATCAGCATCATCATCGAATAACGACGTTGACGTTGTTACCATTACACCTGAAAACGGAGTCATCGAATATATACATGCAACCGCAACTACACGCTAGGGCTAAATACATTCCCGCGTTCGCTTCCCTCAACTGAACCGCATCTCATGGGTACCCGCGTTTTGCTTAACCCTCCGTAATGCATCAAGAACAGCTCTCGTAGTAGCGGGTTATCTTTCTTGAACCTTTCCCCTACCCCATTTTTTCCCTTGGGTGACGTAACTCACTTATGGTCAACTAGAATATGAAAATTCCGAGGAAATTTTGGGCAATCCTTGCTGGTTTTCTAAGCTCAGCTGAGATAAACGAACATATTCCCCTAACACTGCTCACAGCTGGCCGTAAGTAGGGCTGGATGAATTGAGTGCATCCAAAATTTGACCTTGCAGTTCTGTTACTGATACTCTCCTGATCAACTTCACTTGCCACTAGTATCGAAAATTATCACCCGCAACCGAATTTCCGCGCATTCGAAAATTGACCTAAAATTCAACACTACCTCCAAATCGATCGTCATCTCCCTCGTTTCCAAATACAGTCTCCTGCATATCTTCCTCCATCTTCTCATCAAGGTCATCATTCTCATGTTCTACCGGAAGATTCAGCAATTTCGCCTCCTCCGTATTTCCCAATGCATCAGACATATCTTTCACTGCGCGCGTCCAACGATTATGCACCTATGATAAAAATGAGCATTTCTCAATGACACGAATAGTATGGGGGAAATATGCACATGGTAAAATGAGGAAATTTTATACACTTTCACACTGGTTCGTTTGTTAACGTGTATATTTAGTGAGCAAACTGTCGAGCTCAGCTGAGGAAAGCGGCAAGAGTTTCACCCGTTTTACGCCTAGTGACGTATTACTCCACGTGAAAAACGCTATATATTACTTGTTTTCCATATGCACTTATTACAGCTACGACACACATTGTTTTTCCAATGTGCTATAATATCGACACTCATACGAGAAAAACCAAAATTATAGGTTTTACACGCTCAGGAATATTTAGCAAAATTGAACAAAAAATTTGCCGAGTGTCACAACCCGTTTTACGTGAAGTGGCGTAAAACTCGGCGAAAAATGCGATATTCACACTACGCAGTAGCCGTGAAAAATGTTTTTCATATCACTAGGGTGGTGACACTCCAATACAATAGCTCATCATTGCATAAACGATAAATAAAAATACAAAGAAAATCATAGGTTGAAACTCAATCGTTTTATAGACAGTAAAAATTATGAAACTATTTCCGGGTAATGTATCTTGGTAGAGTTTTACCCGTTTTACGTGAAACGGCGTAAAACTCGGTGAAAAACGCGATATTCGCGGTGATATGCAGTAGTCGTGAAATATGTTTTTCATATTACTAGGCAGGTGAAACTCCAAAATATATAATACGGTTTTACGAATATATACGATAAAATCAATTATAACATTTCATACGATGTCTAAAATCGGGTGAAAAAATATGCACCTGGTCAACCACCAGTGTTGATAACAATGTGACAACTCTGAGAGAAAATTTCAGGAATTTTTCCCCAATCCTCGCGAATTCGTATATATAAACTCTCATAAATAGTACAGAAAATCTCGAGCTCCGGTGAGGAAAGCAAACATAAATCTTCACGATGCTGGAGTTTCACCACCCTAGAGATATGAAAAACACTAGTGAGAAACATATTTCAGGCTGCGAATATCGCGTTTTCCACCGAGTTTTACACCACTTTATGTAAAACGGGTTGTGAAGCTCCACTAATATCAACCAACAATTTAACATAAACTACCATTGGTGCAATAAACCCGGCTCGCCGAAACCCGATTCTGGACATCGTATGAAATATTATAATTGATTTTATGGACATATACATATTCGTAAAATCATATATTATATTTTGGAGTTTCACCAGCCTAGTGATATGAAAAACATATTCCAAAACTACTGCATATCACCGCGAATATCGCGTTTTTCACGCCACTTCACGTAAAACTCCACCAAACTGATATCCCCAAAAATTTATGACCTCATCGCGCATTTCCTTCCGTTCGGCCACCCGTTCCTCCGCCGCCCTTTTTTTTATTTTTTCCTCAGCTTTATCACGTCGTTGTTGTTTCCGTTTTTGGAACCCTCTCAAATAGGTCGCCTGAAAATCGAGTCGAATATCAAAAATTTGGACAGAACTTTTTTTCGATTTTTTGATGGAAAAAAGTAAAAAAAGTGGGAAAAATTAATAAAAATAATAACGATAGTCAATAAAAATCACGGAAAATACTAAGTCACTTCAGACTTGAGATTGACAGAATTTTTTTCGATTTTCCGATGGAAAAAAGGAGAAAAATTAATAAAAAAAATAAAAGTCACGAAGCATAGTAAGTCACTTCAGACTTGAAATTGGCAGAAATTTTTGCGTACGATCATCACCGCTGAATGTCCTCATAAAATCATCATCAACCGAGGAAACATATCATAAATAGGAATCAATTCAACACCTATATGCGTAAATTTTTCACACTGCGATGACAAACACCCGAAAGGTTGAGAATTGTAAAAATATGAATTTTGTAAAATTATATTACCCGAGATTTGACATCAAAGTTGATGACCAAGCCTTTTTGTTGGTTATGTTTGTCCCTATGCAAACGAGTTGAAGTCGGTTTAGATGGCATCAGGGGAAAACGAAAGTGAAGTACGATATCGATCGGACATTGTGATATGATGACAATCGCGCTCGCCATGGTAATCGATATACTGGTTTGTTAAGGAAGTGCTGGTCGAAGGCTTCCGGAGGACTAGAACTCGATGCAGAACCGGACATAAGGATTCAATAGTTAGTGGAGATTGAGTGCAGACAGATCAGATAGATCCACGGGATCCGAACAATGGTTTGAACGGACAATATTTGAAACGGTCGGGCGAGAGCGAGCTTTACGCTACAGGGAGCGCACGCCATAAGACTGAATGGCTATAGACTCTTATCATCTCTCCTCCCCGTAAGATTGGCACAAATATCAAAAGTGAATTAAATCTACTGAATATATGCAATAGTAATGGGATTCATATTCTGGGCTTTACCGAAGTACTTCCGTATATTTCTGGAATCTTGAACAGTGCCGTCGGAAAGCTTGTAAGTAGAATCGCCAAGTACTTGTTGAACCAGTAGAGGGCCTCTCCATGAAGGAGTAAGGGGGTCGACGTTACGGACCCACTTCATCACGGAGTCACCAACCTTGAATAGACGTCGTCGTGCGACTTGTCGAGTGTAGGTTGATGGATTGATACGCGAGAGAGCATCAGCACGCATCTTCTCCATTACGTTGAGAGTGCTGTTGACCATTCTCTGTCGTTCCCGATCACGACGTCGAGCCTCGAACGGACAGAGTCTTCGTCGATAGTGTTGCTGACGTCTTCAACCGTCTTGAGAAGGCGTTAGAGCATCGAAACCGTAGAATAGCTCTTGAGGACTGTAGCCATATGTAGATCGGGTGTTGATCCTCCGCTGAGCTTTCGTGACATAGGCTGGCCACGATTCAGGATGTTCAGCACAGAGGGCCTTCAATGACTTCTTGAGACCAGAGTGTTGACGTTCTAATAGGGCATTGCGATGGGGGCTAGCGACAGGGATACATCTCAAGGTAGCACCTATGCTGGCAACCCAGGCGCGGAAGTAAACACCAGTGAAATAGCGGGCATTGTCGACTGTGAAGACTCGTGGGACTCCGACCTGATCGATCAGCCTTGCTTCGAGGATACCAGTGATGGTCTTGCTGGTGATGTCGGGAGTTGGAAAGAACCAACAATAACCGCTGCAACAGTCCATGCATGATATGATGAACTTGAAGGGGTGGGAGAAGGATTCCGACACAGGCAGAGGACCGACAATATCAAGGAAGCAACAGTCGAGGATCTTCATAGGCCTTGAAGTACTTCTCAATGGGGGACCGATGGGGTTAACGTTGCCCCGACGGCCGGCTGAGAACTGGCATGCGCATCTTGACACCACGTGTTGAACAAGCCGAGAGACACCAGGGATGTAGAAAGCCTTTACTACACTGTCGTGGGTTTGCTTGAGCGGACAATGACCGAGGAAGATGTGGATATCTTCGATAACCGAGTGAGCAAACCGTTGAGGTAGAAAGTAACGATGCCCATATCGCAACAATCCGTCGTTGTCAATGGTGAACTGTGAGCGGGGGAGACTGGCGAGCCTCTGACAAGTAGGGTCATTGGTCTGGACGTCTCGGAGCCAAGTGCGTGCAGCGGCGGGGTCGACTGGGATGGTTGCCACTTCTTGAAAGGTCGTGCGACCACGCCAAGCATCGAAAGAACGCCTGAGCAATTGAACCGGGACGATGTGCCTGAGCGCCTGTTCTGGACCAGATGAGGGTTGCTCATCATCGTTCGGAGCGGTGTCTTCCGTGGCGTCGACAACGTGGCAGTTCGCATTATCAGCAGAGTCAATGAGCTCATCGTAGACCTCTCTCTCCTCCCCATAATCAGAGATGGCTCGTGCAAGGGCATCGGGCCATACCGGAGAGGTATCTCGTGGAGACCAGCGGACATCATGTACGACTCGAAGGAATTGCTCCCAACGGTGTAGGAAGGGACCAGTGAAGTCGTTGGCGAAACTGCGCCACTCTTTCTGGACATTCTGGTTGTCGACAATGAACCACGACTCGTCCCTCGAGCAGACCGATACATTCATCGATGGCCAGGAGAATAGCGGCTCGCTCCTTCCAGGTAGAGCTGCGAGATGTAGCCGTACGAGGTGACCATTTTCCACCAACGAGTCGGAGGGGTAGAGCATGCAGTGCCAGGTTGACATCAGGGAAGAACTCTTTAAGGTTTGGGATCCTGCAACGTAGCGACGACTGAGTGGCCTCGCAGTTATCGTTGTTGAGCGGACAGTAGGTTGTAACCCTTAAGATGATAGCAGACCACCCATGGCAGTTGGCATCACTAAGGACAATGGTGCCGATGGCTTGACCGTCTCGAGCGGCATATAGAGCCGGTATACCACTGAGATAATAGTCGAACAGTGACTTGAAAGCCGCGTGTACAAGGGTACTCTGAGCTTCCACCTCCTCGTCGGTAATAGCAGGATCTTGGAGTCGCTTGGACACGTCAGTGAGAGCATGCAGAGCGTCAAGCTGCTGCTTCGCAAGGTGACCAAGGAAGTAGTTGAATGTACCACACCATGATTTGAGCCATGATACCCGAGACGAGATTTTGAGGTTCGAGGCAGCTGCGGCAACTTTAGGAGCTCCTCGCTTACGCTTGGCCTTGAAGGTTCCGTTGATAAACTCGTCCCATGCGAGATCGAAGGATGCCTCAGTGAGTACCCTCCGCGATGGATGCGGACGATAGCGTCCACCTGACTCGATGACCAGACCGCAAAAGGGAGTTACCGATGCCGGGCCGACAGTCTTCAGGGGGTTAACAGCAAAGCAATAGTCTTGTAGGACACTGGTGACGATAGAAAGAGCCTTCATAGAATCAGCTTTGGTAGGACAACCTAGCAGGATGTCATCTTGCACGAATAGGACAGAGCACGGGCAGTTAGCTTTTGCGAGAGCTTCTTTGATGGGGTTGTGTACAAGCCAATGTACACAGGTATGGAAGAGAATACTTGACCAGCACCATCCCTGGGGTATGGTGCAGATTTGCCAGACGTGCTCCTTGCCAGTGATAGGGTCGACGCTAGTGGTCGCTATCTTTGTCATCAGGGTGGGATGAATTCGGGCACAGCCGAAAGCATCCACCAGATCCAACCGACACCAGAAGTTGCAGTGGTGAATATCCGTGCGACGGAGTTGATCGATGGCCGACGACTGATATTGTTTAGAGGTAACATCAGAAGTGGGAGGAAGATCTCGTACCACAGATTGCGGGTAATAGACGAAGCGACCATTGCTGTCTGTCCGCAGTGAGAGGTGGTTTAGGGGCCTGATATCAGTAGTGATCCGATATCGTTGATGAAGATCATCAGATGGATAGACACGGGCAGGAGCGTTGTCATCACCGTGATCGAGCTTGTCGACGAGTACAGGTTGGAAGATGCAAGTGCATGCTTCCGGACAAGATGGCTTGACCTTGCCAGCTTCGGCCATACTCGTCAGGCGCGAATGGATGATGGACTGATCGACCACACTCCTCTTCCGTGATGGTGCTCTATATGGATAGATGAGAGCGTCCTCGACAGCAGGGAGCCTAGCTCTCAGCCTCTTCCGTTTGGGGTCTATGTCATCAGGAATGACTTCGACCAACGGGGTTAGAGCGGCTTCAGAGCGGGCACAGAGTGGGGTTGATGTGGCGGGCGCCGGACTATTTTTGGCGGAGGCCATGTTGCAAACGATGTCCACGCCTTTGTCAGAGACCAGCCGAATGCCCAGAAGTGAGAACATGTTACGGCCTATAAGACAATGTGGACGACACCCATCAACGACCAGAAATGAGATGGTGACAGTGCCAGCGGATCCAAGGAAGCAGGGGACCTTGGCGACAGAGTCAGCCGAGAGAGCCTGATTATTACCGAAGGTAACGGACACAGGCGGTGATAGAGCCTTGACATCAGGAGGCCTTATGATGTCGTTAGCAAGAAGAAAGTGAACGGTAGAGCTGTTCAGAATAGAGGCGTTCGCACCGCTATCCACGAGTCCCTGGATAGGACAATAAGTCTTTGGAGCATCATGACCAGCGACAAGGTTCACCACCGGATCAGCAGGGAGTGAACCGACGATATCATGAAGTGCTGTACGAGATGAAGCACAGGCGACGCTGCTGTGGATGATCTTTAGCTCAGAGCCGTCAGAGATCTCCGTTGCAACAGTGGACATATTGGCTTGAGTAGTGGATGTCATACTGTCATTGTTGATAACCTTTCGGCAGACACCACTCAAATGACCATTGCGCTTGCATCTACCGCACTTGAAGCTCTTGGATTGGCACTTGTGCTCGCTACCAGTACGGAGTCGGCCACACCTGTCACAACGCTCCTTCTGCTTGAAGATTTGAGTATGACGACATGAGTTGGCCTGATGTGAAGGCAACCCGCAGCGTAGGCAGTTATCAGGCGGTATACCAAGCTCTTTGGTAGCTAGTGCACAGATGGAGATGATCTGAGAATGATCGACCTTCTTGAGGCCACCTTTACCCGAACCTTGAGACCGTGACTGACCGGGCGTCATTGCCGTTAGATCATCGGGCAGGGGTGTGCCGTTGTCGAGAAAGGCGAAGAGTGCAAGCTTGTAAGCTTCATAGCCAAGCTGGCATTGGGGATCGATTAGGCATCTTCCCAGAACTTCACGGGCACCACGGAGACCGTCAGAGAATTTGGTGGTGATGTCACGGGCAGAAAGACCATGAGTATAGTAGAGAGCTGTGTATACATGTGCACAGTGCTCAAACCTCGTAGCATATTGACGGACAGACTCATTGGGTTGTTGGCAGATTCTCTCCCACGCAGCGGAGACACTACGCAACTCGAGCTTCGTCAGATAGGTATGGTCCAAGGCATAGATGATGATGACGTGACCAAACTTCTCGATGTCACTTGGGTGAACACTTCGTTCGACAGTGCCTTTGACAGGCTCTGGTAGACATGCCAGAACTGCCTCCGTAGCAACTTGTCGAGAGCATGGCACGCGCTCGATCGCATCAGCAAAGGCAA